CCCAAGGAAACATAGTAAGAACCCAAGGAAACATAGTAAGAACCCAAAGGAAACATGGTAAGTACCAAAGGAAACATGGTAAGAACCAAAGGAAACATAGTAAGAACCCAAGGAAACAGTAAAAATCAAACGAAATATAGTAAGAACTGAAGGAAACATCAGAGTCAGAGGTTCATTATTGTCATTCACACCACATGTGGTACATGTGGTGAAACAAGATTGTGTACTCGGGGTCCCAGTTACATCCAACAATAAAATGTAAAAGAAAAACAATGATAACATCCAGTGTCTTCAGATGGAGGATGAAACATCTCACCATCAGAAAAGAAACTGTCCAGATGACCTGACTGAACATTGTTGGATTTTATACCTGGATTATTGAGCATGAACTTTGGTGAAGACGTTTCACTTCTCGTCCGAGGAGCTTTCTCCGTTCAAAGAAACAAGGAGTGTGGGGTTCAAGTTATAAAGTTGAGGAGTTCTGTAAGCGTGCATAATGCAGATTGACCTCTCACTCCTCACAATCAAGGATCATTGGGGTCTTTGTTAGTCTGACCAGAGTGGGCTCTCTGGTCACATGGTTGAAATTCCTGATAAGTGTATAAATGACTGGGTAAAGGACTGGTCCCCAGCTTTTACACTCTTCCGTGTCATCTATTAAACTTAAGGATCATGTTGAACTGTGATGATATTTAGCCACATTTAATGCCCAACGTGGTCTGAGCTTTGGGGGGACCAAGAGCCGCATCTCTGCGCTGACGTGTTTCCATGGATCACAGGGCCCTGACGAAGTAATTATTAGTGTTGTTTATTAAAAGGTTCCTGGTCTGCAGAGCTGCAGTGGGGGGTCCTGTCAGAGTCCTAGTTTAGAGGTACTGACTATGGTGGCAGCAACATATTTACTGTCTGTCCACAGATTGCAGCTGCGTCGGCTACAAACTGAGAAACATGTTCAGTGTTTTCAAACAGCAATTTTGATAAATTGGTGAAGTGCAGCTTTTTACGTTGTGTGTCTGTGTCTCTGTGATGGACTCTGTGATGTGTGGTGTTTCTGTTCAGCCTCCTGACACGACTTCTGTTCTGATTTGGTGCTTTATAAATAACGTGAACTGAATGGACCAGTCCAGGTACTGATTGACCCTCTGTGTTTCTGGCAGAGTGCCATCGAGTCTCTGTTCGGAGCGTCCATGACGGGCGTGGCCTACTCGCTGTTTGCCGGTCAGCCTCTCACCATCCTGGGCAGCACCGGGCCGGTTCTGGTGTTCGAGAAGATCCTCTTCAAGTTCTGCTGGTGAGTCCATATCGGGTGCTGATTTGTAGGTTTGTCTGAATGTGACTCTGCTCAAAGTTCTGACACAAACATCCATGAACTCCTCCCAAAGACACCTGTGTGACCCGATTCTGACCAGAACTTCAGGGCTGAAGTATTGATGCTTAGCTCTAAAACCTGGAAACTAAGTTCTGATGGTTCTGGACATGACAAGTTAGGAACCAGGTTTTGATAGATCTGGACGTTCCTAGTATCACCTCTGGTTCTGTGTCAGATGAAATTATAAAATTGTCACTAGAACCTGATTAATGTTTGGACAGTTTTTGTCCTGTTGAGCTCTGAATTATCAAAAATAATAACCTGATCCAAACCATCCACATGCCTGCTAGATCCCATCCCAACCACACTGTTTAAAGAGGTATTTCCCTTAATTAGTAACCACGTCTTGGATCTGCTGAATTTATTTCTAATAAATGTGGCGGCTGTGGATGAGTGGTTAGAGCAGTCGTCCTCCAATGCGAGAGTTGAGGGTTCGATTCCACCAGCAGTCACATGTTGAAGTGTCCCTGGGCAAGACACTGAACCCCTCATAGCCTCTGATGTGTGTCCCATCGATGAATGAATGTGATCTAAAGCTCTGATTAGTCTCTTTAGAATGATTTGTTCAGTTAGCTCTGTATAGATCTAGTATAGAGCTGTATGAATGGGTAAATGAGGCACAGATTGTTGTAAAGAGCTTTGAGTGTCTTGAAATAAGATAGAAATGTGATATAAGTACAGTCCATTTACAGTCCATAAATGGTTATGTACCACAGAGCTTTAAGGTTGTTGTAATTAAACCTTTACTTAAGAAGTCTGATCTTGATTCAGAAATTCTGGCCAACTATAGACCTATATCTAATCTAACTTTCATCTAAAAAATTCTAGAGAAACTAGTTGCAGGTCAGTTGCGTGAACATCTACAAAGAAATAATCTGTTGAAGAGTTTCAGTCAGGGTTTAGAGCTCATCATAGCACAGAAACAGCACTAGTAAAAATCACTAATGATTTTCTCATGGCCTCAGACAATGGACTTGTGTCTCTACTGGTCCTGTTAGACCTCAGTGCTGCATTTGATACAGTTGATCACAATATTTTACTACAGAGACTTGAATATGATGCTGGGATTACAGGAACAGCTCTAAAATGGTTTAAATCATATCTATCTGATAGATTCCAGTTTGTAAATGTAAATAATAAATCTTCTTCATACACCAAAGTTAGTCATGGAGTTCTTCAAGGTTCAGTGCTTGGCCCAATACTCTTTACTTTATATATGCTTCCATTAGGTAAAGTTATTAAACAGCTTGGGATAAATGTTCATTGTTATGCTGATGACACACAATTATATTTGTCCATTAAACCCAATGAATCCAATCAGCTACTTAGACTACAAGCATGTCTTAAAGACATAAAAACCTGGATGACCCTTAATTTTCTCCTGTTGAACAGACAAGACTGAGGTTTTGGTTTTTGGACCTGAGCACCTTAGGAATGAATGTTTCAGTCTTTCTCCCTCCTTAGATGCATTAATCTGTCCTCCAGCTCTAATGTTAAAAATCTTGGTGTTATTTTTGATCAGGACATGTCTTTTGTCCCCCACATTAAAAACGTTACTAGAACCTCCTTCTTCCACCTGCGTAATATCACTAACATTAGAAACATCTGATCTAAAGATGATGCAGAAAAACTGGTCCATGCATTTGTCACGTCTAGACTGGACTATTGCAATGGTTTATTATCTGGGTGTCCAAATACTTCTTTAAAACGTCTTCAGTTGATCCAAAATGCTGCTGCCAGAGTCTTAACTGGAGTTACTGGGAGAGATCATCTCTCTCCAGTTTTAGCTTCTCTCCATTGGCTCCCAATCAAACACAACTAAATGGTTCCTGAAAGTTTCTCTGGGTTTGTTTGAAATGGTTTCTGAACATTAGGCCTGTCTCGATGAACAATAAATCAATTAATCGCATGATAAATGAAAACTATCGACCTCATTTTCATTTATCAGCGTTATTGTTTCTTCGTGTCTCTCTTTCTACTGAAGACACTGGACGACAAAAGACTCAACTCCGGTTCTTCACTGACCCCTCCCTTTCTCTTTTCTCTTTAAAATCTGTTTTAATGATCCAAAATCACGTTTTTGGATCATTAAAAGCAGCTAAGCTGAGAAGCTAAGCTAACAGGCCGACTTTGGGAAAAAACCTCCGTCTTGTCGAAGCTTCAAAATTCACGGTTGAAACTCGTGCCTTTGTGTAAAAAGTTGTTTTTCTCTGAAAAAGAAGCTGAGAACTTGTTTACTGATTTTTTTTTTTTATTAAAAGCTTTGTGTGACAAATGCTAAAGAGCTCAAACCACACCAAGCGTCCGCCATTTTAAGAACCGAAGAGAGACAGCCCATGTCACGTCAAGGGCCCTCCCTCCCATTTTTCTTAGACACGCTGCTCGCTCCCTCACTATCCATCCTTCCGTTCGAACAGTCTTATACTGCTATCCATTGGTCAAAAAAGGTGCTACACACAAACATTAACCAACATTTCTTCTTAAATTTGATAGTAATGACTAATTATTGTCAAATTTCAAGCAATATTATTGTTTATTGGAATAATTTCTGAGACAACTAATCGCCCAGCAAAATTAATTATCATGACAGGCCTACTGAACATCTCTCTGGGTTTGTTTGAAATTGTTCCTGAACATCTCTCTGGTTTGTTTCTTTAATAACTCAAACAAAAGAATATATTTTATTTACATCAGCAGCAATAAAAGTGTTGCAACTGTAAACAGGAAGTGGGTGAATCCACCTAACAGGTCCGGGTTTACCTTAATGTTCTGTCCAACATTTTTCAGTCAGGTCATTTGGACGGTTTATTTTTTTGTGCTGAAACGTTTCGCCTTCGATCCAGAAGGCTTCATCAGTCAAGGAAACACACAACAAAACTGATGTGTGTGTGTGTTTCCTTGACTGATGAGCCTGATTGTTGCCTGGATGAGTTCTGATTCTGCAGAACCTCCTCCGTGTGCTGCAGTAAGAACCATTCTGCTGAATGTTATGTTATGCTGTTTGTGTGACCGTTGTCAACACTCTTCAGGTCCGGTCCGGACTCAGCCTCAGGGTCAGGTGTTGGTCCTTCAGAGCCGGGCCTGGACCGGAATGTTTCTGTGGGTTTGGTGTTAGAAGAAGCCAAACGGATCAGGGATCAGAGGGATAATCTGGATTTAAGGGGATTAGGATTTAGATTAGACGTTTGTTCGGACAGATCTGAGTATTTAAATCGTTTTTTAACACTTTGATAAAATCCTTGTTGTGTTTAAGTTTTCTGCTCTTTAATCCAGTAAATCAAAACTACAGATTATATCAACACATAACTTTCTATAGATTAGGACTAAACTCAAGGTTTTATTGATGTTTTGACAGAAAACTGAACATTAAATTACGCTTTGATTTAAAAAAAAAAAAAAAAGATCTTTGTTCGATGCATGGAGGGTTCAGAAGCTACAAGAAGAATAAAAGACAAAATGTTCAATAAAATATAAAAACATCAATTAGTTGTTTTTTTTTTTTTTCATTAGCAACATTTTTACGGATAAACGCAGGGCTCAGTCGTAGGCCCCCTCCTCTTCACACTGTACCTGCTCCTCTCTTGTATGGGGTTCCACATGGCTCAGTCGTAGGCCCCCTCCTCTTCACGCTGTACCTGCTCCTGTCTTGTATGGGGTTCCACAGGGCTCAGTCTTGGGCCCCCTCCTCTTCACACTGTACCTGCTCCTGTCTTGTATGGAGTTCCACAGGGCTCAGTCGTAGGCCCCCTCCTCTTCACGCTGTACCTGCTCCTCTCTTGTATGGGGTTCCACAGGGCTCAGTCTTAGGCCCCTCCTCTTCATGCTGTACCTGCTTCCTCTTGGCTCTATTTTTTAGAAAATATGGATCTCCTTTCATTGTTACGCAGATGATCCACAGATACATGTCCCACTAAAGACGAAGGACTAACTCTCTGGCCCCTCTGTCTTCATGTCTGGAGGACATCAAAGCCTGGATGGTTGTGAACTTCTTAAAGTTCAACAAGGGAAAGACTGAGGTGATGGTCTTTGGAAGCTCCACTGAGACTCCCAGTGCAGATGTTGGTTCCTTGGCCCAGTACATCAGGCCAGCTGTTTCAAACCTGGGGTCAAAGTTGATGCTGGACTAAAATTAGAAAACCACATCAGAGCAGTTGTTAAATCTAGTTTGTTCCATCTGAGGCAGCTGAAGTGAAGCTGATTCTTTCTCAGCAGCGTTTCAAACAGTAGTTCACGTCTTTGTGACCTCTCAGCTGGACGACTGTAACACTCTACAGGAACCAGTGACTCGTGTGTCTCTCAGCGTCAGAGGGTCCAGAACGCTGCTGCACAGCTTGTAACTGAAGGTTTGACCACATCTCTCCTGTTTTATCCTCCCTGCACTGGCTGCCTGAACATTCCAGGATTCATTTTAAATTATTTTATTTGCTTTTAAAACTCTTAATGGACTGGCCCCGCCCTATCTGTCCGAGCAGCTGCATCCATACACGCCCTCTGGATCCCTCAGGTCTTGTGATCAGCTGCTCCTCGGGTCATGTGATCAGCTGCTCCTCAGGTC